AAAGACAGCCACTACTCTAGTTCTAGCTTCAACAAGAGGCAGTTGTCTCAAAAAATCATGCTCCGGTAGATTGGCCTGGTTGCGCTGCAAAAGATCGAAAGTGTGGGTCCACTGCTCCTGAAGGAATTGGAGCGGTCACGGACCCCAAGCCGATTGCACGAATCATGGTTAGTTTCTTGCGTGACATGTCCAGGTGACCGTCCCATCAACCGAAGTTCAGTGTGGCAACGAAAGAGCAAACGATGAAGGCCCTCCTGAAGGAGGCCCGCTGCAGACAATCCGTGGAGGTAGGAACTCAAAACACACGCTCTCCACACTTGGGCTTTGGTCTTCAAAGGCACTGAATGGCGTTTAACAAGCCACAGGCGCAGTCTCTGAAAGGCAACTCTACCAATTTGAAGTCTGTGGGACGTTGTTTGAGTTTCAAAGTTGTAGTACGAAAGCTTGCGTCCAAGATATGTGTGTGATGAGTGCGCTACGGGAATAAGTGTCACCCCTGTGGCTCTGGGAACCTGAACATGGAGGCCTTCTTTGGTGCGCACCAACCATTGGTGGATCTTGGCTGCCTGTAAGCCCTCAAGTCGAATGAGAATGACAGTCTTCTTAGGATTATATACCAATTGGTGCTGCTCAAGAATGTCAAGTACTGCTCCAATTTCACGCATTGCTTGACTGACATGCGCTGGTGTCCCAATTTTCCAACATAGCAAAAGGTCGTCAGCAAAGCAGATCAGCTTGTGTATCAGCTGCTCAACAGTAAGTCTAGAATGACAGTCATAAAAACATTCCATTCCAGGGGGCTCCCACGACAACCTTGGCGGACTCCACAAGTTGTCGCAATGGTGGAATTGAGACCTCTACGATTGATGCAATAGTGTGCATCTTTCAGCCAAAGAGGAGCGCCACAGATTCAGGGCAACTACTATTCATCAGTCCCTCAAACAACTCAGATCTCGGAAGCCTATCGGAAGCTTGAGACAGGTCGAATGACAACATGAGACCACCTACAAGGATAGGCTTGACATGCCCTGCCTGACGTTGCCAGTGTGATGGTTTGGCGCTCACGCATGAAGCTCGTACCTGATGGCAGTGCTCAAAAGCAAAATGCAGGGCCTCTAGAACTCCACGCTTTGCAGTATAAGCAAACAGAGGATACTTGGCTAAGGTGGGCGCCACATGTCGATGTGCACACTTGACCAGTGCTCCTAACACAGCTTTACCAATGCCACAAGTAAGAGCTATTGGACGCAGATCTGTCAGACTGTTGACGGTTCTCTTTGCAAGGAGTGTCAAGGTGGCATTCTTCCACTCCTGAGGGATAGTGGGACGATCTGCAGTCCAGACATCGGTCAAGTACCTGTGAATCCTGTGCGATTGGCATGTTGATGGTGCGCAGATCAGGAAAGTCTGAGGTGGTGGCTCGAAAGATGGTTGCAAAGTGATTCTCCAATGCAGTCAATTCTTCCTGCCGCGATTGAGCAATTCCCGCTGCACGAAATCTAATTTGCCTTCAAGCAGTTTGGGTGCGAGTGTAGGAATGGCCATGTACAATCTTCTTGACTCGCGTCGTACTGCGGCCTGCGCAGCCTCGGTGATGACCTGTTGGACTCGACCACGACGACGGGCTTGGCAGAGTTTACGGAGACGTTTCCTGAGCTGCAAATGTTGGGACATGTGTCTCCATGCGTGCAGGACCTGCGACATGTACGAATGACTTGGCTGAGGGGCGCGCGCCAGGTGCAGGCGGCGCCGTTTCAGGGCAACAATGGACCTGGTGGCGAGCATGCTACGAACAGCATCATGATGCATGACAGGCTTGCGAAAGAGTGCATCGCATGATTGGAGTTCAAGATAATTAACAGACTGAGGTGTGGCAGAACTGTTGCTGGCTTGCCTCAAGGTGGAATCAATCTGCTGTTCGAAGACGGTCCAGTTGGGGGATTGCTGTTCCCACTCCTGGCGCATGCGTTGAACTGTACTACGAGTCAGACGAGTTAGACAGGTCTTGGATTGTCTGCGTTGACTGTACCAAGCCTTCCAGTTCAGGGGCAGCGTACAGGCAATAGGTACATGGTCAGGGTATTCTCGATGTGTATTCAAGAAAGAACCTGATGCAGTGAGCGCGTCGTGAGAGTTGATCTAACTGCGGCCGTCGTGCAAAAATGTAATCTATGTTGGACTGGCCATCAGGTCCTGTGAACGTGGGGTGAGCATCATGCACCTTAACGGAAGCAAGGGAAAACCTGGTGACCACAGCCTGAAAAAGATCACGGTCCGGAAAGTGTGCATCACAGGATGATCTCGGCCTTGGCTTGTCCAAGGTGCAGTTGAAGTCACCTGCAGTGATCAGGAGATTGCGTAGGGGATCTTCCCAAGTATGCCAGAACTTACTACGCGCTTTGATTGGATCGAGTCTATTCTTAGCAGGATTATTGGGGCGCTGATAACAGTTTACGAGATCAATGCCAATGTGGCCCAAGTGACATCGAACGCGTTGAATCCTTCCTTCAAGGATTGTGGCATGGCTGATGGCTGAAGCTGGGCAGAATTGCGCACGTACGAAGGTGAGAAGCCCGTCATGAGCTCCAGCCTGCTGTGGTGTCGGAAGAAGCACATAACCACAGCTTTGCCACGGTTCAGCTATCGACCACCGGGTACCCTGAAGTAGACAAACATCGATCTGCTGGATTGAGAGCCAGTATAAAAATTCATGATAGGGTTCAGTGCTCAACCCGCCACAGTTCCATGTAATGCAACTGAGTCGCGGCCCATTGGCCTTTTTCCAAGACGAACGACGCTGTGTCTTGGAGACATCAGCTGCAGCAGGCGAACAGGAAGGTTGGGCATGGATGTGGCCACGATACACACAGAAGCCAGTCTGGTGAAGCCTTTTCATGGCCCTCACAAAGGATCTCTTGACAGGTCGGCGCGGGATCCTCAAAAATTTCCCGTGGGAATCTTCGTGCCCTGCACCATGTGTTTCAGGGGTAACCATTTGAGGGACTCCAAACACATCCCTTCCAGTGTGGTGCATGGTCACCACACTACCCTCACCCCCAGCATCCAGTATGTCTTCAAAAAAAGTTGATGATTGATGTTCAAGATACGACGCGTCATCGAAGTACTGCATCTGCTGGATGCTCCTGGACTTGGGACCAGGTGGCCCTTGCAGCGCCGCGCTCAGCAGGTGCCAAATCACCAGCCACGGCCAGAAAAATCTGCCATGGGCCGTACATAGAAGTGACAAGAACGGGCGCGCGTGCTTGGGCCAAGGGCTTGAAATCATGAAGGGAGACAAGCTTCACAGACAAGGCGGCAGCGGCAGCCAAAAAGCGAAATAATGAAGGGAGACACAACTTCACAAGACAAGGCAGCAGCGGCAGCCAAAAGCGAAATCATGAAGGGAGACAAGCTTGGGAAACGAGCGAAATCATGAAGGGAGACAAGCTTGGGAGACAAGGCGGCAGCGGCAGCGGCAGCCAATTTCCGCAATCAGGAACCCATCCATTGAGAAGTAAGAACCCCTATAGTTACCAGCTATCCGGGGAATAAAACTTTCTAGCAACTAGAAGCCTTTCAGCAGAACACTGCCAACCACATCCATATTGAATCTCTACATGCCCGTCAACAAGCTGCACCAAGACTGTGACTAAGCTGCGCACAACGCTCGGAGCTCCAGTTGCAAAGGAGAAAATTCCCAGCATGTGAATCAACCACATAGGTCCGGCCCGTTCAATAATGTAAGAGAGACTCTTCGGCGCTTCTTTCTTCTCGTGCAAGACTTCGACAGCTTGTCCGCTACGTCGACTCATTATGAAGTGGGCCGCAAGAAAGGCTAATGCATGCGGTAGCAAGACAGCAGCTGCAAAAGGAAGGAACTTCGTCTCGGCTTGCTGCACCAGCCATTGAAGTGCTGAATGTCGCGACGTCACATGTTGCCTCAGGGAACAAGTACACAGATTTCTCAAGAACTCTCGACGCGTCAAAAGCTGAAAGCAAATGCAGCTGTAAAAGAAGGAGTGCATTCCAAACAAAATCAACATGGTCTTACATGGAGTATATACAACCTCCTAGGCTGACTTGCTGAGTCTTAACCAGGGTCAGTACGATGCCTCATCTCCACCCTGTTGCGACCGCTTGCATGCTCTTTGGGGACAAGGCCTGCACTGACCTGCTGGCGTCGAAAATCACGTAAACGTACACGATTGCATTCGTTCAAGCCGGGTATCACAGCAGAATAGAGCATATCAGCCCAGCTGAAAACAAACACAGAGACTCTTTTGAAGCCAAGCTGTGAGGGGCAAATGCATCCGATGAGTTCATGTTTGACATCGAGGGGACAAGGTCCCGTGGAAAGCATACCAAACACACATCCAATTATCACGACCATGGATCTGGAACTGAGTACAGACGAACTGCCGATTGTAGCTATTCAAGAGCTTCGTGCCTGCAGCATTCTGAAGTGCAAGAGATCCTCGTCATCTCTTGCATTCGCAGGTTCTAGCTGATTGTCGCAGGACTCACACACTGGAACTTCAATAGTAGCGCATCCTGCAAGACCGCTGGTTGTGTTTTCTCGTTTCAGGTAGCGACTCACACAAAACAAAACTATATAGAACATTATTTCGGTAAAACCGGCTTGTCCAGAGGTCATTTTACGTTACGTTGAAAACATGCCACTGACTCCCTGAGTCATCGTGTTGCTTCCTAAAAGAAGCTGTCCAAGCACAAGAATCAAAATGCCAGGAAGATGCATGACATTACCTGGCGGGACTCAATGATCCTCACTGACAAATGTTTCTCTGGCTCAGCCGCTCAAACCAGCCTCACACACTGCCTTCTATATAGGTATTTTCGCTGCGAAGGGTTGGTCGCAGGAAAGCAACGACCCCGCAAGTGCTGCAGAGTCGTAAAATGAATCTAGCTTTGAGCCGGAAGCGCTGCTTGGCACATAGTTCAACTTTAATGCGCTCCATCTTGGTCTGACCGATGCATGACAAGCAGAAACAATAAAGAAAAATTAACGTGCACTTGTTGACGTCTTCCTTGCAACCCTCCGCTCTTCGGAGGGTAATGAACTGCGTTCACAGCGTGAAAAGGGAACTTTGAACGGTCTAAACTTGAGTCTAAACGGTCTATGTTTTGTTGGTTTACTTTGCAGTCAAACGAAGGAAGCCCGCAAGCGCCGGCTTCCTGGCACTGACCAAACCTGAGAGGTATAATGAAAACCCCTTGCATGAGAAGTGCCCGTGGAGAAAAATCATTGAGGCTCTAACACCTTGCTGCGCGCGTCTTTTTTCCAGGAGAGCGCTTGTATCCTCACAGTCTCACATTGCCCAGTTTTTGTTCAACGATTTACGTGCAGCATGGCAAGGCGCAGTCCTTGCCAACGAGTTTGTCGGCCATGAGAGGGATCCGAGGCACGTGGACAAGGGGCTGGCGCAAAGCAATTTATTTGGGACTTGTGAAGTTTTGCCTCCTCTGTGTTGCATACTTGTCGAAGTGGGACTCTTGTGCCGTTCTCCCTTTGTCACGCTCTCCCAGATCTGTCATCATTCTTTATAAAGCTAATCAACCCAGCTGTAGGAGCATTGTTACCGGTGCAAAAGTTTGATCCTAGGTAACACAACCACCTGCTGCACTGTTGATCCTAACTAGCAAGGGCTTCCTTGGCTTCCTGCTCAATGGGGAATATGGATACCCCCGGCTCCTCAACTCCTTCATGCGCTACTACTTCGAACAAAGAAAGAATCATTAAAAAACTAAACGACGAGTGGCCCGAAAGCATTTTTCACCACGTGTGAAGTTAGAGTGTGAGTTGTGTGAAGTGTTAAGTCTAGTGTGTTGAGTCAGTGTGTGGGTCTCTGTGTGTGTGTATCTATGTCTGTGTGTGTATGTGTCTCTCTCTGTATGTCTCTCTGACGTGCAGGAACGCCTTTTCTCTGCAAGTTCTTGACCTCTCGCAAGCCACCGACATCTGGGTAATATCACATGAAACCGCCAATGATCCCGCTCACCTGCCACGCGCCGCGTTGACGCCAGCATGTTTCACGCTCCCCAGTCGCACGGCGCCACGCAAACGCACTTCTCACCAAGGCCGCGCAAATCCCAATGGCATTGCGGCATCACGAACGTACTTTGGCCACACGGTCTGTCCACACACTAGAGGCAAACATATCACATGAAACCGCCAACGATCCCGCTCACCAGCCACGCGCCGCATTTACGCCAGCACTTCCCCGTACTTTGGCCACATGGTCCGCCACACACTAGAAGCAAACATATCACACGATACCCCTAATCATCCCGCTCACCAGCGACACGCCGCGTTTACGCCAGCATGTTTCGCGCTCCCCACGGCGCCACGCACTTCTCACCAAGGCCGCGCAAATCCAAATGGCACTGCGACATCACGAACGTACTGTGGCCACACGGTCTGTCCACACACTAGAAGCAAACATATCACACGAAACTGCCAATGATCCCGCTCACCAGCCATGCGCCGCGTTTACGCCAGCGTGTTTTGCGCTCCCCAGTGGCACGGCGCCACGCAAACGCCCAAGCCCGCGCCCGCGCAAATCCCAATGGCACTGCGACATCACGAACGTACTCTGGCCACACGGTCTGTCCACACTAGAAGGCACAGCGACATCACGGACGTAATTTCGCCACAATCCCAATGGCATTGCGACATCACGAACGTACTTTGGCCACACGGTCTGTCCACACACCAGAAGGCACAACTACAAACTGGCCACTTCTGAGTCCAGCTCCAAAAAGCTCTTTCCCGTACATACTACATTTGTACTACAAACTGGCCACTTCTGAGTCCATCTCTGAAAGGCTCTTTCCCGTACTACATTTGCACTACAAACTGGCCACTTCTCACTCCAGCTCTGAAAGGCTCTTTCCCGCACTACCTTTTTACAACAAACTGGCCAGTCCAGCTCCAAAACGCTCTTTCCCGCACTGCATTTGCACTACAAGCTGGCACAAAAAGCGCGGACCATACAAGTCTCTCGCCTGCACTTCGCGCACTCGACACACACGATCTCCGCAGAGGGTTGCGCGCGGCCCCGACAAATCGCACTCTCGCCTGCATTTCGCGCACTCGACACGCACGATCTCCGCAGAGGGCTGCGCGCGGACCGGACAAATCGCACTCTCGCCTGCATTTCGCGCACGCGTCACGCACTATCTCCGCAGAGGGCTGCGCGTGGACCGGACAAATCGCACTCTCGCCTGCACTTCGCGCACTCGACACTCACGATCTCCGCAGAGGGTCGCGCGGGCACCGGACAAATCGCACTCTCGCCTGCATTTCGCGTACTCCACACGCACGATCTCCGCAGAGGGTTGCGCGCACATGGGACAAATCGCACTCTCGCCTGCATTTCGCGCACTCCGCACGCACGATCTCCGCAGAGGGTTGCCTTTTCGGTTGACGCTGTTCGTCCCACCCTCCGCCTTTAAAGAGAATTTATAAAGTGGGGGAATGTTTTTCATTAGGATATCTCCCGTGAAAGTGTTTCATGCTTTGCTTATGCTTACACTTGCACGCTTACACTTGCACGCTTACACTTGCATGCTTACACTTGCATACTTACACTTGCATGCTTATACTTAGAAATGTAAGTGTTCAAGTGTAAGTGTTCAAGAGATTTTCCGGAAGAAACCTTCGCAATGCTTTCGGGAAAAACAGACCACAAGTGCAACAACACAGAAACGTCCTGGGCGTGTTTTGTGCTGCATAGAGAAACTGCTCAGAATAGGCACAAAACATGTTCTGCCCTGCGACCAATACGATATGCGCATGCAACAAGTGGCCTGCATAAAGGCACATTACTGAGCACCCACCGGTCCATGCTTTACACTGCGCGCGCGCAAAGGACACTCTGTGCAGAACTACCGTAGTACTGTCAGGCACACGCAGTTCACTGCGCTCCTCCAACGTTATTAAACTTACACGACACACCAAGGCTATCAAGCCAACTTACGTTTCTTTGTTGCGCAGATTCATTTGCTTGCGCTGCTCACACCGTCCACGCTGAGAAACGTTGCCCCAAGCTGACGGCCCAAGGCCGATCACAGCACCTGACGTCACAGCAATCAGGGTTCCATCAAAGCACCTATCAGCACAGATGGGGAAGTCCGACCACAGCTCCTAACAACGCCCACAGTTTCAAGGTGGCTGTATGATCACACGCAGCACGAAGGATTCAAGGGCGGAAGTCCGATCAACCAGGGTTCCAAGGCTGGAGTCCGATCACGGCCCACAACAGATGGGTTCCCAGACTTCCAACATGGAAGAGCACAGCGCATGGCTGAATAGCGCCGGCGGCTCCAGTCCCATCACAGCGCCGAACACCACCCAGGTTCCAAGGTGGAAGCCCGACGACAGCACCTATCAGGACGCAGGTTCCAAGGCGCAAGCCCGATCACAGCAACTATATAACAACACCCAAGCTGGAAGTTGCATTCAGATCACAGCACCTACAGCGCCTATAGGCCTATGGGGTTCCAAGGTTCAAGCGTTCCATGGCGGCATTCTGAACACACAACCTAAGGGTGGCACCTGACAGCACCCACGGTTCCAAGCAAGGGTTCCAACACAACAGCTCCCAGTGTTCCAGGGAGACATTCCGGATTAAACCCAACTGCATTCTGCTGTTGGGAAACAGTCCACACAATCACTCACCGCAATACCACCCAGCCAATCTTGGCAGCACCCTTGCTGAATAAAAAATATGGCAAAAAGAAGCTTCCTACCTGGAACTTAACCTAAAACACTATACATCTCGATACACAATGACCCTTCCAGCCTTCGCTTGCACATTTGCATCAGTAGCATCATTCTAGATATTGCACCACCGTAACGTCATCATATGCAATAAAAGTTGGAAGCATTGCTATGAGATTAGTTAGCCAGCGTCCATCTGTTTTGGCCAGAGATGCTGACTACTGCTGTGGTCTTGAGGACAGCCACCACGAAAGTGTGGCAAGGAAAGCTACCATACCAACTGAAACACTGCTTACCTTGCCACCACAAAGAACTACAGGTTGCGCGTAGTAGGGTGTTCAACAAAACTAGTCAAGCAATAAATCCTTGCATGTTTGGCTTGTCACACTCAAGCGAATGGAATTCTGGAACACGCAATTCCAGTGACTGCCAAAATGCACCAGGTCACCAGCGTCAAGTGACACCAGAATACTCAAATCATCTCAAACCAATCAATCAAGTAGGCTGCACGGGAGGCACTGGTCTCCCATTTATGGCCTTACCCAAACCGCAAAAAGAATCATCACAAATCCACAGAGCCATTGAGCTCCAAACAGCCTGTGCAAAGTCGTCCCACCAGCTTGCCTGTGCCATGTGATAAATGAACTTGACAATAATTTACATCATGAGAGCTTGCCAAAGAGCAGTGGGTTGCATTCTACATGTTTCTTGCTGCAGTTTGAAGGTGTACGCATTGCTTCACATCCAGGCAGAACTGTTCTGAGAGAACTAGTTACAGGACCAGAAAGGATATTGGCAAGCTAAATGTGCTCCTGAATAATTTCACTCTCTAAACTATGTTCATAAACCTCAGGATTGCGTTGCCTCCTTACTGCCCAACACAATGATAAACGGGCTGCTCCAAGGTTCGCTGATTCCTAATCGTAGATTCTGGAATCAAACCAAGGGATTTCCGCTGCCCACTTCAATGTCGATTCCAATGCCAAGGTGTGGGGCTACTATGCATAGTACGTACTAGGATTGGAGCTCCTACAATGCGTAAGTGATGGACCAATAGGCGTGTCAGCCATTTTGCGCTGTCTTCCCGTGCTGCCGAGCTTTTTGCAATTCTCAATGGTGCTGCTACAACGTGCTCAACAAGGCTTTCGGTTTTCACTGGCTGCCCTATTCTCGAACTTTCTTGCAGGAGATGTGCCTCAATTGCCGAACTGGATAGTCTTGGAACCACAGCCTGAGGTGGCCAATCTTTTCAGTATCAGAAGCAGTTTTGGTTGAGTACCACAGCTGCACGGAGGTGCAATTGATATCCATCCGGATACTTGCTAAGGCGCTGATTGCAAAAATCACTACACTTCCTGACTTTTGTGACTTTCTTGAGGTGGCAAACGGGACCTGAGTGTTCAGTTGCCTATGTAAAATTGCATGGGCGTACATCTTCCTTACCTTGCTCCTAAGTTTCCTTGGAAACTGCTCTTCCCAGCACTTATATATGCCTATGCAGATCTGGTCAAGTTCCTCAAGGCGATGGCCGTTAAAGACTTGGGACTTCTGCTTGAATGCGCATTGCGCTTAATTCTCTATCTAATTTGTCTTTTCCTTCCACTTTTTTTCACCGGTTTTACCAGAGAGTCAACAGCGTCGCCAGTCTTGCAAGTGTCGGCCAGGAGGATTGAAGAGGATCAACCATGCCCGGACAAAAGAAATGACAAGAAATGCGCCCTCAGTCCTTGCAGTGCGCAGGGTGCTCAGAGGCAATGCCAACCACTGGAAGGTGACGCTCATGCAGCTTGGAGACCTGCGTCGTCCAATGCATCGGAACACATGTACAACAATGATAGAGGTGTTCAAATGTCAGCAGTCAAGCTCAGTCCCCGAAAGGAGGAACTGAGAATCAATATCCAAATCCAACTAGAGAATCACAGTTTCCTTCATTCACAGCAGATTTCGTAGCAACTGCGCCTTTTATCTTTCGAAACTGCATCACTGTAAAAGCTTTCCTCGCAATAAATCTGCAACCAATTCAAGCCTCGTGGACCAGACCTGCAAAGTGCAGCCTGCAAGTCAGCGGCAGCTCCCACCCAATATCTTAAGCTTTCCTCTTCAGCATTAGCTGCGCCAGACCAAGAGCCCTGCAGATTCTTCTTGCTGCCAGGGCTTTCCCAAAGATTCCAAAGATACCAAAGCTTGAAAGCATGTGCAATAGTTAACAAAGCTACGTCCTAGTTCTCTACAGTAAAAAACAAACCACTACTGCATTTGGGAGCCTGGGATGAAGCAATCCACCGATATCACAGGCAAATGGAGGCCTAGGCGAGGGGGCCAAACAACATCAGCGGCGAGGTCAAGCGAGCACTGCAGGGGGTTGCGAGGAACGTTCGAGTGACAAGAAACCGGTCCTGAATTGTCGGGGTGAACTAGTAAAACATAACTTATGTCATAAGGAGTAGTGAAACATAGTGAACTTGGAACTGAGATGCGAGCATGACGACTGCGTCAGCACCATGAGCACAGGCCCACGCAAAGACCCGATCCAACGTAGAAGAAACCAAGTTCATCTCCCTGAGAACAACCGCTTGGAAGCTTGTATATAACAGATGAAAAGTAAAGGTGTTCTGTTGAGGCCATGACACAATATTCGGTGTTCAAAAAGATGTACTACTGTGGATGAAAAGATTCAAACCTCTCAAACCACTGCGAGCTATATAAGTCCTGCACTCTTCTTGGGAATAGATCTCCTTCAAAAAGCACACAACAATGCAAAAAAAAAGAAGCTGCCATGAGCACGCATGATTAACAAGAACTATATTCTTTCCTGCTCGCCATGGTGAGGATGCAAGGGCAATCCAAACCTTGCGACTCTTTCACGCGGCCAGCTTGTCAGGAGTGGATTGTCCTACCGACTCCGCGCACCATATGACATCCACTTGGGGAGGCTGCTCAACCCACGGCCTCGGTCACGCGTAAAAAGGATCATAATCACAGCTCAAGTGGCATACGGCTTCACAAATCAGTTGTCGACGCACCATCTCGAAGTGAACCACGCAGAATTCCGACGCCAGAGGAATAAATGATTCCACCCTCTGCAAGTCGTAATGTCCACGAAGCAGCAAATCACGCGTAAACAGTTGGCAAGACCTCTTGTGTCAGCATAAAGAGCATCGTTCTTGCATTCTTTCCATTTCTTTTGTAAAAGAGTATTGCTCACTGGTGGCAATTTGATAGCCCACTGACCGGGGAGGTGTGATAAACAAAGGTTCTAGGCAGGAGAAGCTTCCATTGGTCAGAAATCCTGGCAAGGGGTAGTTCGGTCCAAGAGCCAGAAGAAGAAAAGAATATGGAAGAAAGAAAAGAAGAAAGGCAGGAAGAAAGGAAGAAAAGGATGTCCAAAGAAAAGAAAAGAAAAAAGAGGAGAAAGGGCAAAAAGGTCAAAAGAAGGAAAGAAAGAAAGAGTGCATTGTTTCTATTTCAAGAAAATGAAAATGTATTGTTTCTACTAGCAAGGGATAGTCCAAGACGTAAGGAGAGAGTAGCAGCTACAGAGTAATATGGGGTACCAAAGAGGTGCAATGCTCTTTAGAACTCGCCTCCTTGATGGATTCGTCAGGCACTGCCTGGATGTCTTCCTCAAGTCGTTCAAAAGCCTCAAAGTAGGTTGTCCGGAAGAAGAGCTGATCCTGCCACATGAAGTGCTTAAGGTAGCAAACAAAGGCAAAGGCATTCCATGAATTCTAAAAGTCCTGAATTGGATTTGCTTCGTGCAACACGCTGCTGTTCGCACAAAATTATCTTTTCTCTGACCGACTGACCAAACTACCGCAAAAACTCACTCAATGGACGTAGGCAAACACACAGTGCTGACCGTACTGGCTATGCCGCTCCAAGAAGATTCATTGGAAGACACACTGTTGAGCCATCTTGTCGTTTGGTTTGTTTATCTTCCGGTGCCCTCCTTGCCTCATGAATATTGTGATACAACCTGCACTGGCTTTGTGGATGTTCCATCCCAGTACACCTCAAAGCACAATGCACTTCAACCTCAACAGTGTGAAAATGCAAGTCTGGAGTTTCGCCTGAGAAGAGCCACACGTCTGCATTCTGAGTATGAAAGGTGAAGAGCCATATCAAGCGGGTCACAGCCTCACTAGGTACGACAACGTTAAGATCCGCATTCAATTGAACCCACGTATGTTTTTGACAGATCAGTGCCCCAAAATACAAACGCTAATGTGTTTGTTTCATCGGACTTAAAATCAGGATCCTTTTCAGGATTGCACTGTCTATGTTCAATACATTAACGAAAATATATTCCATTGAAGTAATATCAAAAAATCAAAGCCCGCTTCATGTACATCATCAACAACACCTGCGTTCTCTTGCGCTGGAACCACTTTAGGATTTTGGACATAGCCGACATAACCTTGTAGGTTCAAGACTACCTTGTCTTTCATACTGCGGATTTCGCTCTAAGCCTGTGTCGGATTTTCTCTCTGTGTAATATGAATGTAGAATATTTTCAGGCACAATATACAAAATATGTGTCAAGCAAGTAACAACACCCTTGCGCAAAAATGCTGTTTTACTAAATTACCCCGGCAAGGGACCCAAACAATGTGTCTACAGGTCTAAGGTCTAGAGGTGTAGAAGCAGGAGGTCTAGAGATCTAGACGCATTGGGTTCCAGGGAGCGGTGATGGTGGAGAATGGTGGTGATGAATCTAGAGATGCACTTCAAGGTCCACAAAAGCATTGCGCCACGAGATCAGAGCACGCCGATGACCACCACCATGTCCAAAGCACTGCGCCTGCCACGAAATCTGTACATCGAAGTAAACCCTTCCGATCTCCTGTGCCTGCCACAAAAAGTCGACTTTGGACCAACAAAGCACGAGGTGTCCATTGCGCCTGCCCGAAAATGCGCACGGCGCCACAACGAGAGCGCAGTCTCGAAGAGCACCCGCCCCAGGCGCAGTTGACATGCACTTCGAAGATCCCGAGGTGGATGAATGCACTGTAAGTAGCAGCGAATTGGCCAGACGCGCCGATGAGAACCTCAGATCAAAAATCCAGCCTTAACTACTACTGTAAGAACCCCTAGTGTTTCCACACTGCTTGCGAGAAAAAATAGAAGTAAATTAAATACAAAGCTAATGTTATTGTTTTGAGAGCTCTTGAATGGCCAGCGACACGAGCTTCTGCTGTTCTGGATATCAGCCCGCGACCGTTTTGGCATATAATCTGTTGCTTCTGTCCTGAAGCCTAGCAGCTATTGCCATGCATGCCACCAAGGCAAAATGTGCCATAGTTTATGAAAAAACATCTGCTATATATATATATATCTATATTTATTTTTGTGCTTTCATGAAAACACACATTAGGGCCAATGTCTAACAACCCAGTCCTTCAATCTGCTCTGCATAGGCATTCTTCCAGGGCGATGCAAGCACGAAATCGGTCTGACCAAATGTCGGCAATCCACCTTGCAGGTCAAAGCTGCACGTTCTACTTTTTCAAGTCTGTCAACTACTGGTTATATAGTCCAGTTATCAAGTCAACATGTCAGCCAGACCATCTTGCAGGAGCTCTCACAGGTGTAGTTTCCCTTCAGACATGCCTTTTTGTTGCAAGCACGTGGCTTCACAAGGGCCAAGTCATGCAAGAGCAAAACAAATCAACCTAACAAATCAATCTGTTTTATTATGCACGCGGTGTCCAAATTCCCGTGGGAATGTTTTGACACAACTGGCCCTGCGCAGTCCCAAGAAAAATGGCCGCAGCAACGAGTGAGCATTTCTCGGGATCCTGGACGCCGCAGGAGACAATGTAGCGTTCAAATCGGTTTTCAAGCTGTTTCTGCTTGAACTAGATAAACGCAACACTAGTCGTGTGGTTCTGGAGCCCCAGAATAATGCCGTGCATGAAAAGGACAGAATCAAGCATGGCAATTCCAAGGGCCACTAGACAACGTTCACGGACAACAAGGACACGTGCGAAACATGAAAGCGTGGCTTCAAGACACAACTTTGAAAAAAACACAGCAGCCGCATACAGCCGCGTAATCCAAAAACATAGACACAAAGAACAAGAGATTCTCAACATATATTAATACACGCTTTTCCTTGTCTTGCAATACGGCTGCAATCAACTCACATGCACAAAGTGTACAAAGTAAACTGTTCTTTCTATGATGCTAGAAACGATACACTTCTGCGCACTAATTCCAAAAAAAGGAACTGGTTCGCACTCCTTCTTGGCGATGTAAGACTCGTCTAAACTGCTTCTTTGGGCTCACTTTGCCACCATAGTCCATTTTCTTCCATTCAATTCTTGTTTCTCTCTCTTTTTCTGTAGGTTTATTCATATCTTCACACTACAGCATCACCCTGTGTCCTTCATACCATCCTTCTACTCCTTCTGGCTAGGTAGTTTGCTGCATGGGTCTCACTCCGGATATTGTAGCTAAGACTAGCCTGTCGACTCAGCGTTCCTCTCTCTACAAAGCCTGCATTCAGAATCAATCCACTGTGAATCCTCCTGACATAGTCTTGAAGTGTTTCCAACTTCTCTTCAAGTTCTTCTTCTCTCCACATTCCAACTCTCACTTCAACATCATCAATTCGCTTGTCAATTCTTTTGGCGATCGTCTCACAGCATCCTGTCATGAAGCTGCTTGCGTGAACAAAATCTGCACGTAGCGCTGAAAAAAGTTTGTAGGTTTTGAAGATCACAAAAATCACTTCTGCAAAGCCAGTAATGTTGAACACAATGGACAGGACAACTCTCACAGGCATCTTGGTAATTTTGCTGACCTTTCCTGCAAAGTTCTTTTTCTCTTCATATTCCCTTCTCTCACGCTCTCCTACTCTGATTTGGTCTTCACCGTGCCAGTAACCGATGAAATTCAACAAGTATCTTGCCCTTTGTCCTCCAAGCGGTTTTGCGTTGATATCTGCTAAGTTGCAATCTGTTGGCACCTGTGCCATCTTGAAGTCTTTCCTGCTCTAGATCCATAGCAGCTTTCCACCTAAGTGTCTCACCTTTCCAACTCCTCTCTTCATCACAAGTTGGCCTGCACTTGAAGAACCTGTGTAGATATAATTGTCCACCTTTGTCCCAAGAGCAAATTCAAGAACTGCGCGAATGTAGATTCCATCTGACGCAACAGCTTTCTTCTTCCTTGACATAGCCCTCTCCTGCCTGTGGAAATTCAAGTACCAGACAATAGTCCATAGCCTTCTTCAAGTAACCTAGGAACTTCTTCAAATGATGAAATGGCATAGCTGTAGGATTTGACATTCTTGAAGCCAGCTCCTTCACTGTGAACGCTACATATACCTCTCTTGACATAAGTAGATACCTGATCCAACAATGCTTCTGAAAAGCCTAATCTTCTCCTGCTCACGTAGTACTTCTGACTTGCCTTCCATCTGGATTGAGTTGTCTGATGGTAGTTGCTGGGGTTTAATAGATCCAATCTGCTCTTCATAGGCTTTCAACATCTGCTGGATGTAGTTGCCTGGTTGGATCCATCGTCCATCAGCTTCTAGGTTGTACTTTCTCCTCAGAAAACTGAACTCATCACGCCTTGAATCTTTGGAAGACAGATTTCATTGATGTACTTTGAGTCTCCTGTGAAAATCAAGTCATCCACATGGATCAAAATGATACTCTTCTCATTTCTGCCCGGGCGTGGACACTCAGCGCTGAACTTGTAGTTGAGTTACTGCGCGAGGTACTCTGTGAAAAGTCACGATTTTGCTCCAACTCTCTGTCCATGTAGGTTTCTCTTCACCAAGAATTCTTCTCCTCTCAGGATGACCTTCAATGGCTTCTCCTGTGGAACTTGTGGAAATGCATCTTGTCCATCAAGACATCCTAGTATCTGTGAAAATGCTCCTTCTCCCTCTCTTGCTTCCTCCTCTTCACTGATCCTTTGCAAGAATATTGTGGGTAGAAGCTTCAGTACATGCCCTGGAGTCGCTGGTGAGAAAATGTCATCTCTCTTTCCTTCAGCGCAAGCATAATCTAGTTTTGATCTTCTCTTCCACCTCTTGACTGAAGTACCATCCCAAGCTGATATGGTTTCTTCCTGCAGCCATACACATTTCTTGCTGCGAAGTAACTGATTCCTTTTGGGCTACCTTCTGGTTTCTCTAGTACCTGCTTTTGGCGTCTTTTCTCTTCCACCTCATCAGCTACTCTATCAATCCACTCGTCTGGATTCTCTTCAGGTTCATGTTCTCCATCACGCCACAAGCATTCAGGTCCGTTAATCTCTTCTGAATTATCTGCTGGCCTTAGCTTCTTCATTGGGCTTCCCTCCTCAAGCAGTTCAATACTTCTCTTGGCCTCGATGGCGCTGATGGTGACCTCAATGAAGCTAGTATAGGAGTAATTGGGTTAGGCCGTCCTGCTGGCAATGATGTAGGGGGAAATGCTTTTGCCTTCTCAGGTGTCTTCTCGTTTGCAAAAAGAACTTTCTGCCTCTTACTTGGAGTTTCTTCTCCACTGGGCTTCCGTCCACTTCCATCTCCTCTCATTGCTTCAACAGGGACTTCCAGCGAGGCCGGAATCTCCTTTGGCTCTGGAGATAGTGGATCCTCTTTCTCTGAATCACTTCCTCCAGCGCCTTGCCCATAACTGCTTATGCATCTTCATCTTTAAATTTCACCGTTACATGTTCCCAAGGAATGTCTGTCTGTGCAGCTGGTAATGCTTCTGCCCTTCTTTTTGGCGGCAACGATCTTGCCTCCAAAGTTGGTTTGATACTCCCATGAAAATGCACTGAAGCTTTTGTATATGGGTTAAGTTTTTGGACCCATCTTGATCTGTTCTTCGGATGCACTTGCTGAGCACTACCTGCGCTCCATATGTAAGGACATCTTTGTCTTGCGAGTTTTCTCCCTTGTTGAGGCTTTTGACGTAACCATGAACTGGTTCACCATATTCTGCTAGAAGTCCTATGGAACTCTTGCCATAGACAAGTTCATAGGGAGTTGATCCTTTGATTGGCTAAAATCTATGGAGTACCCAACTGGCATGTCCTGCTGCCCACGTCCAAACTGCATGATCTGACCCAATCTTGATACCAAGTCTTGATTACAAACCTTCAATGAAAGTTCCTGCTAGCTTTCTCACCCTGTCAACTATATTTTCTGACAGAAATGAATGATCTCCAAGCTTTGAGTTTACCAACCTGGTAATGAGTCCTAGGCTGTGACGAGCATTGATCAGCATCTTGAGGATTTGTCTTGTTGTGGGTTCATTATCACTCCTGTAGGTGATTGCTGAATACCCCAACAACTGACTGAAATTCATCAACTCTTGTACAATTAGGCGAAATTGTCGTTTGCTTCCTAATGGCACAACATGTCAATTGCAACTAGCCAACATACTGCTCTTGCTGACTTTGTTTCTGAGCCTCTTGCTCTTGTGTAGCAAAAGTCAAAGCTTGCTTCAGGTATACTTCCTCTCTTTACTCCATCTGCTCTCTCATGGTGATCTGGACGTGCTCGACGCTCAAAGCACTCCTGTGCCTTGCTTGAGTTGCTTCATCTGGCATCTTTGAAACACTTTGCCCTAATGCCTCCCTTGTCTCCTGAGCTTTTGCTTCGCTCACCAACCATTTTTTGGCGTTCAACAATTCCATCTTCTTGTTGTGACTGAGGACCTTGGTGTAAACCTTTAGTATAGCGCCACTGCCTGAAATGCCGAGAAATGAACACGCTGCCTCAGAGTTGCCAAAGATGAATCCTTAGTCAACTCTACTCCGTTCACCAAGACTGTGTCTACATCCATTGAGCTCAATTGAAGTTCACATTCAAGGTCTTCGTCTTTCTTTTCCTCTTCTCTCTGGCCTTCTACCTCCTTCTCCTGGGGAGTAGGGGTAATCTCTTCCATGGCCTCTTGAACTTCTTTCCTTCTCTGTTCTCCGTCCCCAAGCTTCTTGTATCCTGGCGCAAAGAATCCCATATCCTCTGGGGGCGCTGGCTCATAGCTGAAGTTTGTGATTGAAGGAACGACTGCATCATCATCAAATAACTGCTCATCAAGTTTCACCAAAGCAGTTCTCGTCAACTCTGGTGATTCTTCCACTTCTGGATTGATTGTGGGGTCCACAAATCTTGAAATCAATAAGCTTCCAACTAGCAGTCCATGCTCATTGAATCTCCAACCTGATTCCTTTTCCAAAGCTTCAGGTACTTGCACCTCCAAGCAGCTCTCATCTCTAATCCGGCTAATCCGGCCTTGAACTGTCAGAGAGCGATTTTGTAGGCTGAGTGGTACCTTCAAGTCACCATTCTCCGACGTTTGCTCTCTGCTATTGATTCCCCAACCATGCTTCGTCAACCTTCCATAACAAAGTATGGGCTGATTCACCTTAGAACTGAAGATCACATTCTCTTTGAGAAGAACTCCTCGCCCATCAAGGTCACGCAAGGAAATTTCAACACTTTCGCACCTCCTGTGGGGATACGATTTCCTTGTGCATCTTGTAGCTTGGTCTGTGTACTGAAAGATAATAATCACATCATCATTCTCTTCCCCAAGTCTCCTCACCAGGTTCATCATCTGAGATGTCAATCTCTTCAACTTCCTGGAATTCTGGCTCATCATCATCATCATCATCATCATCTCCAACGTACAACGTAGAAGTGAATTACTTGACTTCCTTAATCTTCTGGCTCATCATCTCCTTGTCTCAAGTCAAAAATGATTGGCTCACTGTTCTCAATTCTCCTGACCACTGGTTTGGTCTCTGCTCAGCTACCTTGTTGGCTCAATTGGCATGTTGTTGACCAAGTGTGAGTAGTCACTGGTGCTTTGTGAAGGTGAATGGGCTTGATCAACTGCTACCTGTCGAGTATTGTTCCTCCAACAGTCTTCAGCAAGATGGCCTGGCGTTCCACAAGTGTAACATGTTGCCACACCTTTGCCTTCTTGTCTTTGCCTTTACCTTTGCCCTTGCGATCACCTTTTTTTTGATTTCCTTTTCCTTTCTTTCCTTTGCCCTTGGCGTCTTTACCTTTGCCTTTTTGATGGTCATTCTTGCCCTTCTTACCTTTTCTTTTGGCATCTTGAACTCAATCAACCTCCATGGGCATAGGCCCTTGATAGTCTGCACTGCTACTCCCCACGATGGAAGTAGCCCACTTCTGCTGTGAGCGAACCCATTCGAACACTTGTGGCCTCAACTTGGAGTATTGAACATTGTCGCCAATGGTCAAATTCAAGTAGGATTTGAGTTG